AAGCGCGTAGTGGATGCTTTTAGGAAATCGCAGTACATTGAGGTTCTGTATGAAATTTACACTGTATGGCAATACATTGTTTCGTGTCGGGCAAAGAGCTAGTAAGTGGACACGCTGCGGAGGCGGATGATGTCGGAGCATTGGCGATCGACAGAGGTGGACGTTCTTGGTGCCAAAACTTCAAGGCCACAGGAGGAGGATCGACGGGTGATTGTGAGGACAGACCCATTGGCGATGGCACAGCGGCAAGAGGATAGGCGCTGATTGATGTATGTGGGCGCTCATCCTCAGTACGCTTGCACCTTTGCACTAGCGTCATCTTCGCTGCGACGATGCTTTCCCGAACCATCACTGGTGATCGTTGGAACACGTTGAAGTGACCATTCTCCCCACCAAGCACAAGCATGGCACCGCGGGACCTTCAGCATTTGGAAAAAGGCGAGAGTTCAGAGAACGACGACGGGTGCAACCACCAAAGGATGCGAGGCGGAGGTTGTGGGCAAGCGTGCACGGCCTCGCCGCGCGAGATCGTCGGCGGTCTCACAACCAGCACAGCTTGTGTCGTTGATGGATGTGTTTTCAAATTTCATCGCAAGCAGCCAGCAAATATTCCTGTGCATTTTCGCTCAGTTTGCCGTTTGTCGTGTCAAAACCAGATGAGTGATTTGCAAAAAGCAAGCAGCGGTCACATTGGGCGCTTGCTTTAAAATCTCTGTGCAGATTGACCCTTTTTGTAGCGAGTATTGGATAGCCATGGCGATGCTGGCGCCACTGCTCGTTGTATCCGATACCACGCAAAGACACGTCGTCGCCGTGCCTTTGCTCCGGTATGTTGCCGTGGACTAGAAGAAGCTACGAGCTCATGGAGAGCCGCCTCGTCACTGCTGCCCTATTGCGATGTGTATCAAAACCGCTGCTTGTGACGCGCCGCTCTTTAACTCGTCGTCTCGTCGGCGTCGCTCCGGGCGCTTTTTTGTGCGCTTTGGCTGGCTTATATGGCCTCACGAGTCTCGTCTTTCGTGTCCTTACGCTTCCCGCAACGCGCCTGCAAATGACGTCGTCTTGGGTCATCGACTTGATAGTGATTGTTACATGGCAGTTGTCGCGGCCAACGTGCGACGGTCGTCACTCTGCTTTGTGAGGATCTGATGTTCGCGCTTTGATTGGCTCGTCTCTTAGAAAGCACGTGTTCTGATTGGACCCATGGAAAAATCGATATCGTATTATATTACGCCCGAGAGCATACAAACATCAGTATAGTACTGTAGCGAGCGTCGAAACGACACCAAGGTGGGGGCAAGGTCGATGGCCATTGCGATCTTCTGCTTGTCGACACGACCACTGCGGCCAGCTTCTCTTCGGGTATTCTCCATTGACTTCTTTTTCGTATCGCGCTTTCGCGCTTATCTCCAATGGCTTGTCAAACGGTTTGACAAGCTGTACCATGCGTCGCTTTGATTGGCGGAGACCTGTAGATTCAAGCCAATCAGAGTGCAGGCGCTACTTTGCACTTTGCCAATCTTTCCGTTTTAGGATATGCCCCGCAAGTCTTTCAGCGCGCTGGCGTCGCCCGATACCTTTGGCACGCAACACCACGTCTACGTCGAGCTCAAGCTCAAGCTCAAGACCACGCGCAATGGATAACAATGGACGATAAGGCCGCTGCAGACAGGCCGCAGCGTCGAGTCGGCGCACTGCAAACCCCCCATCCGCGTTCCGCATCTCCAGGCAAAAAAGGACCGCCAAAGTCTCGCCGACAAGGGCGAGGCCGAGTCAGGCGCAGGGACATACCTCCACGCTTATCTGCGTGGCTCCTGCGCGGTGCCACGTGTAGCACTACGGGGTCGTTATCGACTGCGATTGGTCCGAAGAGCTTGGCAGTCGACTCGTCGTGGATACAGACCACGGATGACTTAGCTGACAACTTCCCGTGTCCGTCCCGGACGAGACCTTCCAAGTTGTGACGCTGGCCGCATATGCGCTACGTCCGTTCCATGGCCTCCCAATGGCACCCGATCTCGATGAATTCAAGACCACCTTGAAGGAGCTCGTGGCCCGCTTTCTCAGCAACGACCGCCACGCAAACCTCGACGTCTCGGACCTACCGCTCGACTGCTCGTCGTGGACGCAGCCACCGGATGCGACTTGGCTTTGTGCTTGTTTAACGACATGGCCGTGGGCAAAAGATTGGTGCGTGAAATTCTCGCCTTTACTCACGCTCAACACCAAGCTAACGGCGACGAGAGCGCGTGTGAGCTGCCCGCACCTCTCGGATTAAGAATTCTAACCCGCGAACGACATCCGACGACGACCTTGTAGTCGGTACGCTCTCACTCGTATGCATTGGAGTATTGGCTGTAGAATCCACGGCCAAGAAGGTGGCGCGTCGAGACCCTTGTGCATTAAACCACGCCTGACCTCTTACTTACCCGCGTCAGCGATACCCCAAGTACTTATTCCGCAAGCTTGGCTGGATGCGTGGGCTGACCCTCAAGACAGTTCTAAGATCTTAGGCTCGGTCGTAGCCTCCTCCCGTAGGCAACTCCAAATGTTCAACAGCATACAAGTACGTCATACTCTGGCCACCAACCAAGACAAATAGGCACACACTCGTAGTAGCTTTGCCTCGGAAGCTTCGTGGCATTGTCGTACCTTATGTATGGCATCCCACTATGTCGAGCTCACAACGATGGTCGTTCACTAATTTACCAGTGCTTCGCGGCTAGTCTATTCTAGTCGGAAGCGGTACTGGTGAGCCATCTTGGTCAGTCGGCAGCATGGCGGCCTGTCGTGTACTTGGTGTTTGTATACACGGTGCCGCTGAGTCATCGGCCACTTGGTGGGCGAATGACTCATCGGCGACCAGTCTTTTGCCCTTTGGGGACGCCTCTGATTGGCTGATATTCCGGCGCGTAGGGTAGGGTTCTCGCACGCCTTGAAGTAGCACGTGTCTTTTAATGACGTCATTCATTGTTTCCACACATCTACACTTGCTTTTACTATCCAACATTTGCATAATAATTTAATGAGGCGCATATTATTTTGGGGCGCCAGATGGCACTGTCGACCTCGTCGGGTCGATTGCACTTTGCAACTTGCGCCTTGCTACGCACTTCGCCATGTTCGCCGCCGCCCGCGCCCATGTCCTCCGCCGCACCGCTGCCCGCCGCTTCTCGTCGGCGTGGGAGAAGCCCTTCCCGTCGATCCTCGTACGTGCAGCATGGAACGACGTAGGCAAGTTGACAAGCGCTCTGTGTAGATTGCCAAGGACAGCGTGTCGGCGCAAGGCTCGTTTGCCGAGGCGCAAGCCACGTACTTGCAGCCCAACATGGCGTCCGTGAAGGAGCTCGACGCGCTCCTCGAGAAGAAGAAGCTCGGGATCGTGGCGCATTTTTACATGGACCCGGAGCTCCAAGGCGTCCTCTCGTCGCTCAAGTGGCCGCACACGCTGGTCGCAGACTCGCTTGCGATGGGCGAAGCCGCGGCCGTCATGGCCAAGAACGGCGCCAAGGCCGTCGCATGCCTCGGCGTCGACTTTATGTCGGAGAGCGTCCGTGCCAACTTGGATTCGAACGGCTTCCATGACATTCCCGTCTACCGTCTCTCGAAGAAGAAGATTGGGTGCAGCTTGGCCGAGTCGGCCGAGAAGGCTGCGTACATGGCGTACCTGACCAAGGCCGCGGCGACGCCCAACAGCCTCCACGTGGTGTACATCAACACGTCGCTCAAGAGCAAGGCGTGGGCCCACAACATCATCCCGACCATCACGTGCACCTCGTCCAACGTCGTTCAGACGATTTTGCACGCCGATGCGCAGATCCCGGGCCTCAACATCTGGTACGCTCCGCTCTTAGCGCGATGATCATGGCTGAGTTGTTGCCTAGGTATGGCCCGGACACGTACATGGGCGAGAACCTCGAGCAGATGTTCCGCCATTTGGCGACCTTGCCGGACGAGAAGATTCGCCAGATCCACCCCAAGCACACGAGCAAGACGTACGTAATGACTTTGGACGCATCTGGATCCTCATCATTGGCGCTTTGTGTAGCATCACGTCGCTTCTCAAGCGCTTCGACTACTTTAAGGAAGGCAACTGCGTCGTGCACCACATGTTTGGCGACAAGGTCGACAATATTGTCTATCCTTTTGACTCAATTTTGGTATCTAGGTCACGCAGCGCGTCCGGGAGCAGTACAGCGACGTGTACCAAACTGCCCATTTTGAAGTGCCCGGCGAGATGTTTACGCTCGCGATGGAGGCCCAGAACCAAGGCCGCGGCGTGGTCGGCTCGACGTCCAACATTCTCAACTTTATCAAGGCCAAGACCAACGACGCGATCGCGGCCAACTCGAGCGAGAAGCTGCGCTTTGTGCTCGGCACGGAGGCCGGCATGATCACGTCGATCGTGCGCGGTGTGCAGCAGACGCTCCAAGCGAGCACGGGCTCGTCGACGCCGCAAGTTGAAATCATCTTTCCTGTCGCCGCCGATGCGATCGCCAAGGACGACGAGAACAACGTGGTGCCTGGTGTCCAAGGCGGCGAAGGCTGCTCGACCGCCGGTGGCTGCGCGACGTGTCCGTTCATGAAGATGAACGACTTGGACGCGCTCTTTGACGTCGTCGAAGGCGTCGACCTCAGCGCGCCGACGGACCCACTCGCGGCCTACCACCCGCAGACGTACAGCGAGCGCATCCACGGCAAGACCATCTCGCAGGTTGGGGTCGCGCCCATTTTGCACATGCGTTCGTTCATGGAGGTACGACGACGCTACCTTGCGCTGGTTGACTAATTGATGGTGTAGAACCAGCGCTTGTCGGACGCATTGGTCAAGGACATTGCGACCCGGACGCCGGGCGCCGGGTGCCCGGAGGCGCGCGCCTAAGTACTGAGTGGAGATTGGAAATAGATATATATATGTATTTGAAACATTGATACTTGGACGAAACGCGCACGCAAATAGTGTCGAATCGCCGGAAGATCCACGTATGGGAGTTGCGAAACCATAAGAATGGACAGCAAGCCGCTCGACGATCCATCGGCGACGTCGGACGCCGAGACCGCGCCCGTCGTGTACGTCCACCTGATGGATCCGACGCGCTCATGGTGCGTCTGCACAGGCCACGCGCGACGAAGGGCCCGCCCAAGATGGCGCCGCCCAAGGCCGACGACAAGGCCGACGACAGCGTAGGCAGCCCTATTCTAGCAGGTATGTAGAATTATATGTAGGTGGACGCAGTCAAGAAGCCCAAGAAGAAGGCGCCGCCGCCGCCGTCGGGCGCGCCACCCAAGTCGGCAGCCGCGGCCCTCCGCGCCAAGACGAACGGATCGCCGCCGTCGTCGCCGCAGCCCAAAGTCAACGCGTCCGTGCAAAAGATTCGATCGGCTGCGCTCGCTGACAGCAGCGGCAGCAAGGAAGGCGACGGCGAGAAGCCAAAGCCCAAGAAGAAGCCACCGCCACCGTCGTCGGCGCCACCGCCCGAGGTAGCTGATGCGGATGCCAAGGCCAGCACCAACGAGGAGGCCAAGCTTGAGGCCAAGCCCAAGCCGAAGAAGAAGCCGCCGCCACCGTCCAAGGCGCCACCGCCCACGTCGCCGCCGGTGCACGAGGCCAAGGCCGAGACCGAGCTTTCACTCGAGGTCGAGAAGCCGAAAAAGAAGGTCGTCAAGAAGGCGCCACCGCAGCATGTTGATGTCTTGGCCACTGCACCCGTGGACGAGCCGGCTTACGTGGCACCCAAGCCGACACCCGCGGTCGCAGCACTGCCCAAGCGACGCAGCATCGCTGAGCTGCTCAACGAAGGCAACGACGGCGGCGTCGTGCGTAAGAACACGACTGCGCTCATGGAAGAAATCGCGCTGCAGCCAAAGAACCAAGACGTATTTACGCCCATGGCGATGGGGCCGACGACGGGGAAGGCGGCGCCCATGAGCTCGTCGAACCGGCGCCACATCGACGACGAAGAGACGTTGACGGTGACGCGTCAAGTCAAGAAGCAGCCGCCAGTGGTCGTGGCCAAACCGGCGCTGGACACGAGCATGGACGACGACATTGAGGAGATTCCGTTCCTCGAGGCGGCCGACGCCAAGGGAGACGATGAGGCAAAGGACCCGGAGATTGTGATGGAGAAGGCTGCGCCGCGCAGCACGACCCAGCACGATAAGGTCGACGAGCCCAGCGACAACAACGACAACAGTGCGACGCACCCGCTACCCAAGTCCAAGACGGCGCTCGCCGACGCGCTCTACAGCGAAATGAAGCAGCTTGAATCCATGGGCAAGGAAGACCTCCATCGACGGCTCCAGGACAGCAAGCAAGACGACGCCGACGACGCCAAGAAACTGACACCCACCGACGATGACGAGACCGAGCAGTCGGTCGAGGCCAAGCCGAAAAAATCCCGCAAAACCAAGGCCAAGACCGTCGACGAAGCCAAGCGAGTGTTTGAGGTACCAACTTTGCTCCTTTTTGTTCATTTTGAAACTCTGGGGAATGCTAGTACTTCAACCCGAAGCGCGTGCCCTATGTCCCCAACCACTTGCTCGACTTTGTGACGCGACCGCTCGAAGCCGGGCGCGGGCATGTGCTCAAGTGTTTTATCGAGCGGAATCGCGTTGGCCAAAACCGCGTACGGACGATTGCTTGGATTGATATATTGATACATGGAGGTCGACTAGCTCTCGCCGGTGTACACGCTCTTGGTCGAAGTCAACAGCTCGAGCGGCCGGCCGATCTTATACTGTCGGCAAAAAGCCACGAGCCAATTTTCGTCGCACTTTGTGTTTAGCCTTAACAAGTATCCGCTCTCTTTTGGATTCTTGGAGTATAACGAAATGGATAGGGAAGACCTCTTCTTGTCGCGTGCGATGCGCAGCAAGCAGTTTCTCGGCAAGCTGCGCTCGGACACGCGCAAGATGGAGTATGCGCTCTTTGACCAAGGCGACAACCCAGAAGACATTGACTCGGACTGCGAGATTGATGACGAGATTCGCCAGCACATTCGCGCGCAATTGTGCATCATTCGCTACCACAACATGAAAAAGGTACGTCGACTGGCGCTCGTGCTCTGGCGACAAGCGACGTAGGACCACCCTCGCAAGATGGAAGTCATCATTCCGTCCATCAACGAGACTGGCACCGGGTATCTCGACTGGCGCCCCATCACGCGCGACCAAGCGATGGAGACGCTCTTCAACGAAATTTCGCAAAAGGTATGCTATCCATCTATCAAGTTGATAGTGAAGAAAGTGTAGGGCGGTGAAAATGTAATCGAAGCCGACAAGTTTATCTGCATGCACAAGCGTGAGACGCAGTACGACCCGCTCTCGTCCTGCATTGTCGACTTTCGCAGCCGGGCGACGTGCGTCTCGGTCAAGAATTTTCAAATGGTGCACTCGCAGCCGCTCGACCAAGACCGGTACCGTGACGCGTACATCGCCGCGCACGCCGGCTACCACTACGACGACGAGGGGACCGTGAGTGTGCCCCAAGAGCACGTGCTCTTGCAGATGGGCCGTGTCGGGCAAAACTGCTTCAATATGGACTTCCAGTATCCGCTCTCGATGCTCCAAGCGTTTGCGATTTGCATTTCCCGCTTTGATTCCAAGCAAAAATAAGCCAAAAAAGCGCTCGCTTTTTACATTTCATTGTCGTCGTCGTCGTCTCTATCGTTGCTCTGGACTCGACCAGAGAGCTCGTGCATGAGGTACTTCATGTCGTTGACAATCGTGGTTTGCTCGGACGGCGTCGCGAGAAGGTACATGTCTTGCATCATTTCCGCCTGCGCGATCCACTCAGCGTCTTGTCCCAGCGGATAACTCTTACCTTCTTGGCAAGGTCCAGACGCTCGAAATACGTCGTCCAGGGCGCTAACGGGTTGTGAGTCGAGCGATTTAGCGTCACAGGGTACTGGGAATCGAAAGCTCTTCGTAGTTGACAGCCGGGATAGGCTCCATGTCATTGGACGAATACTTCGAGATACGGCTCGCTACGCAAACAGCCATGACAAATTGGCTTGCATAAACAAGAGCTAGAGTGTACGGGCACTGGCCCCCGCAAGGAGCTCGAGGAACCGCATGAAGAACGCAAACCGTTCCGGCTTGCTCGACTGGTTCCAAAAGAGCACGAGGAGACCGAGGCGCATCTTGGTGTCTGCAGCATATACATACATATCGCCGTGTGAAAATGGTGTGCTCTACCCGACAAGTGCGCGTACACTTGCGTCCACTCATCCCGCGTCCGAATCGTTTTCTAGCTAGCTATAAGAAAAAGTGAGTATTACATCGACAGTACCTCGCGGTCAATCTTGTCGGCGAGCTTTTTTGTCGACGCAATCTTGGCTTGCACCTCGCGCGTCTTACTGCCGAGCTTGGCAGCGTGCTCGTACGCGGTTTGCGCGCGGCGGACATGGCCCAACGCCTCGAGCGCTTGGCCTTGCCGAAAATACCCCTAACCCCATGGAACCCTATTCCACGTCGATCCCGATCGCACCTTGGCCCACTGCGGATCGAGCGCAATGGCTGCTTCGGCGTCGCGCAAGGCGTCGTCAAACTTTTGCAGGTGGAAGCGGGCGGCCGACCGGTTGCCAAAGAGCGCCTATGGCAACGTCAGTCGATGAGAGCATCGTCGACTGGTCGTACGTGTTGGCGCGGGTCTTGCAGAATTGCTTTGGCGTACAGCGCCTCGGCTTCGTCGTAGCGCTTGGCCTCGAACGCGTCGTTGCCTTGGGCGCGGAGGTCGTTGCTCGCCATTGGAATGCTGAGTCGACCAAACGATTATGCGCCGTCCCAGAAGTGTACTCTGCAATGGCTTCGATTTTCGAATCCCACCGCTCAACCGACTCCAACTGCAGACGCTTGGACAACGACCACCAACGGTCCTCGTCCGACCGTGGCGACGCTAGCTCAATGGTCCAACGGGAGAGATGGTGCTATGATGTGCAAGTTTCGCGCTCCGTGTCCAGCACATGTAGTAGCTAGCTAGCCATTCGCGTACGCTCGGCTTAGTCAAAGTCCTCGTTGCTACATCCAACGAAAGGTAATATAGTACGCTCACGCAGCGTCGTCGTACTTGTGCTGCTACCTGCATTGCCCGCCAGCTTGACGCCATTAAGTTGCGTGTGCATAGCCCCTGGACTGGAATCCCGGCCTGAATTATTATCCGGACAGCAAATATTTGGAGCACAATGATGAAGAGTGCGTGGCCGTCGACCTTGTCGTCCGTGGTGCTGAGACTGCGGATAGATCCGTACGAGGAGAAGCACAAGGCGCTGCTGACGCGCATCACGGGCTCGGTCGTGCGCCTCAACGACGTCATCAAGGAGATCAACACGCAGCTCGAGGTACGAGGTCGCTGAATGCACGCAACCTGCAATGGGACGGTAGCAAAATGAAAAGTACTACGCCGAGATCGAGTACACGAGCAGCATCTGGGTCGGCTACAAGAAGCGCGTGCAGGCGTACCGGCCGGCGGCGACCGACGAGGTTGCTGCGTGAGCTGCCATCACCTCGGCGCGTCTCGGATTACGTCATCGGTTATTTTTGAATGAACGCCCGGCAGATATGCGATGTGGGAGGTACTTGCGTGCGAATAGCCACTAGAGATTGCTCGTGACGTTGTACAGTATTTCCGGGTGCAACAGGATGACTGGATTACTGTGCAGCGTTCGAGAAGGGAGGTTTGGAATCTGCCATCTATATACACAAGGCGACGTATGCGAATCGTCGGCTACGTACTACCGGTAGTACCGGCGATGCTATCGCATCTTGGTGCAGTCAAAGGTTCATTCTGGGAGGATCTCGCACCATCGAAACGAGCGGATTCGAAAATCAACGGAAATTAGTGTGTCGACGTGAGCCCGTCACGCACAGGATGAAGTTGAACTTGGGCGCATAAAGGCACGTGAGGCGCTCCGTGTCTCCTTGTCGCAACCGACTCGCAATTCCTTAAAGATCAACAAGCAGACAATTCGTAGCCATCCACCTCGATACGGTAGCTGCCACGAGGCGCTGCAACGGGCCGCGATTTGCTGTTAAGGGTGTACTTAGTAGTTCTCAATGTGACGGTCAAGTGGGTTCCAAAGGCTGTAGCGTTGGTATCGCATCCGGTCCTTCCTTTTGTGCTGGACACAAATCGCTACGTATCGCTCCTGCGACAAAGATAGCATATCTTACGAAGAGTACTGTAGTCGACGAGGGGCTCGCAAGTCGACTGGCCTCGGTCGAGCACTCAAGGAGAAGCCACGAGCGATCTTTGGCACTTGGTTGACACGCACACTAATTCGTGTGACTAATCGGAGGCAGAAACAGGATCTGGAGCTTGGCGTTTGTATCCCGGGAACCGCGATGCGATAAAATACGAAAATACTGTGTAAAATCGAAAATAAAATAAAAACACGCCATTTTCAAGCCAAAGTGAGCCGGTGGCGGCTCCCTCTCTAAATTTATACTGCTGCATTCGGTTCAGCGCGAGCGCAGTAGCGGATCCGGCATGAACACGAAGAAGCTGTACATCCACCCGGCAGAGGACATGGCGAAGAAGTCGCCGGTCAACATGGTCGAGCACATGCTCACGTCGTCGCCCAAGCGCGCCCGGCGCGAGGACCACCGGCTCGACGCGCTCTTTGCGTCCGTGCTCTGCGACCCGTTCATGTTTGAGCACATCCTGCTCTACTGCCGTGGCATCAAGACCAAGCATTGGGTGAACGCGATCCTCGCAGCGCGGTCCGGCAACCTCTTCATTCTGCAGTTCCGCGGTCCGCAGCTCAAGTACAACGCGTACGTCTTTAGCGAAGCGAGCGCGCATGGCCACCTCGCCATTGTCGACTGGTGCCACAAACACAACCATCCGGGCTGCACGACCGACGCGATGGACTACGCGGCGCGCGCGGGCCACTTGCACATTGTACAGTACCTCCATGCCCATCGCCGCGAAGGCTGCACGAAGCGGGCGATGGACTTTGCCGCGCTGAAAGGCCACCTCCATGTCGTCCAGTGGCTCCATGCGCACCGCAACGAGGGCTGCACGACCGAGGCCATGAACGGCGCGGCCTTTGGCGGCCACCTCGAGATCGTCCAGTGGCTCCACGAGCACCGCCGCGAGGGCTGCACGCCCGAGGCCATGGACGCGGCGGCCGCAAACGGCCACTTTCACATTGTCAAGTACCTCCATGCCAATCGCCGCGAGGGCTGCACAAACAAGGCGATGGATCTGTCGGCCAAGCACGGCCACAAGCACATCCTCCAGTGGCTGCACAAGCACCGCTGGGAAGGCGCGTCCGTGCGCGCCATGGACTACGCCGCGCAGAGCGGGCACTTGGAGATCTTGCAGTGGCTGCATGCGCACCGCCGCGAGGGCTGCACGACCAAGGCGATGGACTGGGCGGCCGGCCAAGGCAACCTCACCATCTTCCGCTGGCTCCACGAGAACCGCAACGAGGGCTGCACGATCCATGGCGTCGCCGAGGCGTTCAAGCAAGGCCACACGTCCATCATGCAGTTCATCCGCGAAAACGGTATTTATGGCGTCCACACGTTCCTCGTCTAGGAAGAAGCTAGCTTGGAGCTTGAGTAAATATGGTATATATCGACGATTGCCACCGAGGGCGCTTCTTCTTCTTGCCACGTGGTCGATGTTGTCCTCGGTCTTCGACGTCGATGGCGTCGGGATTGGCTGACGCAGCTGGGCTCCTCGAGCTTTTGCAAGAGTTCCGCTGCGAACCAAGGTGTTTGTCCTCCGCTCCAAGCAGGTTTGCTGGGCCAGCGCACAAGGCAGTGCTCGGGTGCTCGGGTGTGTTGGTGGTGCATGTGATATTACGGTATTTTGCTCACTTTACTGGTATTTGTACGGTGTTATTCCGGCCGGTCGATATAACACTATTTAACGTCAAATGCACCCACCTCGCTGGGACTGCAGTCGTAAAGCAGCGTGCCATTATTGTGGGCCGCTTGCTGCACCTTATTCTTGTGGCACCTTTTGTAGTACTGTACGTGGCCACGACTCGACGTCGTAGGGTTGTTGCCATGACGTCTCGTTCGTCTCGATACCAACGCGATGAGAAAATGCACACTATACAATGACAAATATACGCAAATAGTATGCTCGCAAAACGACAAGGGAGCGTGGGTTTAGTCGAGGAATTCCTGTGGGCTCCATCCGACCTGGCCGACCATGATGATGGACTACGACTACCTCCAGCAGCGGCTGCAGCTGCGCGTGGACCTCCTCGAGAAGCGGCTCGTCGGCGTCTCGGAGCTCATCCTCGCGCCCAAGGCAAGCGACCTCAGCCGCGTCCGCGTGCACTGCCGGCAGATGAAGGTGGCCCGGGTGACCGTGAACGGCCTCGACGCGCGCTTTGAGCAGCTCGACTTTCTCTCCGAGGTCGTGCACGAGAGCTACCGCGACTGGGCCTCGTACGACCTCTTCTACCGCGGTGCGATCGTGGCGTCCAAGGAAGGAACGCTGGTGATCGAGCTCCCGGCGCCCATCGAGCGCACGAACGGCCAAGCGCCGAGCGCGTCGCAGGCGTCGTCGGCCGACGACAATGACAATAGCAACGTGACCGACGACGACAGCAAGCACGCCAAGGACAATGCGTTCTGGGACTTGGACACGATTCCATCGAGCCAGACCGGGTACGAGCCGCTGCGTATCCGCGTCGAGTACGTCCTCGAGGACCCGCGCGGTGGCGTCCGCTTCCTCCTTCCGGACGCCGACCACCCGAACCGATCGCCACACATGTACACGTACTGCGGTCCATTTGGCGGCCTCTGCGACGGCGCGCGCATGTGGATGCCCTGCCGCGACTCGCTCAAGGACACGTGCACCTTCCGCATCGAGCTTCTCGTGCCCGCCTACTGCGTTGCGATCTGCAGCGGGCGGCTCGTGGACCAGTCGCTCGACGAGTCGTACCGGTCGTTCCGGTACGTTGTCAACACCAAGACCAACTGCTCGATGCTTGGCTTTGCGGTCGGGCCGTTCCGCATGTACATCCCCGAGGCGATGCCCCGCATGACGTACTTTTGTCTCCCAGAAGTCTACGAGGACCTCGTGCACACAACGTCGAGCGTCCATCTCTCCAAGTCGAACAAGGAGTCGACGGCCCACCAGCCGTACCCAACGACGTCGATTCTCGCGTTTTACGAAGGCTACCTCAACGCACGGTACCCGTTCGAGACGTACCAGCAAGTGTACGTCGAGGACCCGCCGGACGAGGTGCAGTACTACGCCGGCGCGTCGGTCCTCGACCAGCGCTCGCTCTACGGGCCGACCATCATTGACCGCAAGCTGCCGTCGCACCTGCTTCAAGTCAAGGCGTTTGTCGGCAGCTGGATCGCCGGTGCGATTGGCATCCAGACCACCAAGGACGCCTGGGTGCTCATTGGCGTCGTCGGGCACCTTGTCAACGCGTACGTCAAGGTCGTCTTTGGTGAGGAAGAGTACGGGTATCGCATCCAGCTGGCGATGGACGCGCTCACGACGATCGAGCTCACATCCGATGACGCGCCGACGCTCATCTACCCGGACGTTGACGTCTACGGCGAGTACGACCCGTCGTACGTACCGTTCCTGGAAGCCAAGGGACCGTTGATTTTGCACATGATTGAGCAGCGCGTGGGCCAGAAGCACTTGCAAATCTCGCTCCAGCGCATCGTCGCGGGCTCGGTGCCGACCGAGAGCTACGGCAAGCAGCCGTCGAATGGCAACAGCGGCAAAACCAAGCACGACGACGACGAGAAGGACAAGGAGAACGACGACGACGGCGATGACGGGGACGACGGCAACACGTCCGTCATCAACAGCAACCTCGACGAGACAGCAACCAAGACCGGGCAGCCCCAAGCGCTCTCGACGTGGTCGCTGCTCAGCATCGTCAAGAGCATTGCGGGCGCATCAGGTCAAGATTTGTGCCGGCTCTTTCTCCAGACGTGGATCGTGCACGGCGGCCTGCCCTTCTTTAGCGTCGGTTTTTGGTACAACCGCAAGCAGACGCAAGCCGAGGTCGTCTTGGAGCAGACGCTCTTGCCCGGCTGTGAAAAGTACACGGGCAACATCAAGATTACGATCGTGGAAGAGCAGAGCGAGTACGTCCACCACAAGCGCATCGAGTCGCTCCGGCACAAGTGGGAGTTTCCGTGTCATTCGAAGGTCCGCAAGAAGCGCCGCACGCGCCAGAAGCTCGACCAGAGCGACGACGACTACTCGTCGCAAATCTCGGGCGCGGGCATGGGGCTCAACGACACGCCGGTGTACTGGGTCAAGATTGACCCCGAGTGCGGCTGGCTCCGGCACATTGTCATGTACCAACCCGACTTTAACTGGATGGAGCAGCTGCTCAGTGACTCGAAATGCGTCCGGTCGCGCGTCCACGCCGCCCGCGCCCTTGCGCTCTACCCGCTCGCGCACGAAAAGTCGCATGTCATGGCGTGCCGCGTGCTCACCGAATGCATGCACGGCCTCACGACCCACTCGCGCCGGCTCCGCGCCGAGGCCGCGATCGCGCTCGGGCTCTGGCAGTCGCTGCATGCGCCCATGACCAACGCGCGCACGGACCTCCCGGACTGGAAGGGCATGCACAACCTCGTGCGCATCTTCAAGGAACACTTCTTTGACCGGACCGCCGACATGCCGCTGCCCAACTACTTTTTGCCGTCGGGCGGCAAGGTCATCTTGGAGGTATCGTTTTCTCTTTGTTTTCATGGGCGGCGTGGGTTGATACAATATTGATATTTTTGTCGCTAGTCGGTGGGCGAGGAGCAGTCGACGACGAGCCGTGACATTCAGATCCAAGACTACGCCGAGGGCGAGTACGAGATCAAAAAGGCAATCCCGAAAGCGCTCGCGGTCGTCCGGTCGCGCACGGGCTTTTCACCGCCCGAGATTGAAACATTTCTGCTGCAGCTGCTCATGCAAAACGACAACTCGAAGAACTATGTCGAAATGGCCGACGAAAGCTCGGTCGCGGACGACTGCTTTTACGTCGGCAGTCTCATCCTCGCGTTGTCCGTGCTCGTCCTTGAGAACCGCAGCTTGGGGAAGAAGGAGACAGCGACCGAGATCCTCCGCCTTTTGCACTACGACGACGTCCGTCCGAGCTACGGCCACACGATCACGATTTGCTGTCTCGAAGCGCTCTGCAACCTCCAGCTCACGGGCCGCCTCGCCGACGAGAGCGCCGTGCCGTACCACCGGTACGCGTCGCCCAAGTACCCGGCGATGGTGCGCAAGGCTGCGATCGAGAGCATCTTGCGTCTCTACTTTGCCGAGGACCCGCGTGACGAGGCAGCCTCCAAGAAGACGCGGCCGTTTGGCCCCGTGGCTGCGATTTCGTATGCGCTGCGACTCGTCGAGACGGAGAGCTCGCCGAGCATTCGCCGCTTTGCGATCCAGGTGTGTCTCAACTGCCTCCGCGGCTTCCCGCCGAGCGTGGCGGCGCAAGTCCTGGCGACGTGGGACCACGCGTACACGCTCGGGATTATGCACGCGATCCAGATGGAGCACCACGGCGCGTTCTTGCAGAAGAGCCCGACAAAAGAGTCGATTGCGAGCACGTTTACGCCGCCGTCGCTTCTGTCGCTGCGTGAAGACAGCTTGGCGACGCGCGCGGCTGCTGAGCTTCTCTGGTCGATCATGAACACGACTGCGAGCACGGACCAACCGCTGCGCGTCTCGCTCGCGCTGCTCTACCGCAAGATCTGGGGCGATGCGACGCCGATCTGCCTTGCCCACTCGGTGCAGGTACACACAATGATGATCCGTGAGCATTGTCTGAGCGCAAATGTAGGAGAAACCGGCCAACTGGGCCGGCGGCTACGAGTCGCTGCGCAAGCTCATCGAAGAGAGCAAGTCCAACACCAAGTCGTCGTCGTCGTCGGGGCACCCGACCAAGTCCAAGCACCACGGCGACGACCACAGCAAGAAGCGTCCACCGAGCGGGTCGCCTCCGGTACGAGCCGACTCTGTCTCGTTGCCCATTTCGAGTCATGTCCTGTGTAGCTGCCGGGCATGGCAGGGCCCTTCGATCAGCTCAAGGGCAAGAAGCTCAAGCTCAAGCTCGGCGAGACCGTGGTCATGTCGCACAAGCTCTGAGCCATTTTCGTACACCGACGACAGTGGGCATAGGACGCTCTTGTTGATTGGAAATGCAATAGTTTATATATCAGTTTTGGTGCTGCCCAGATTTCTGGTGCTGCCCAGATTTCTGGTGGTTCCCACAGTTGCATTCCACACGGTGGAATTGGTGGAATTTGGTGCAATTTGGGGCTGAAGCGGTGTGTATCATCAGACTGAAACGGCGGGAAAGGCCGACCAGTCGGAGTATGAACAACGCGGGCGACGAGAGCGTCGCCGCTGTTCTCGAGACGCTCCATGCAATGAAGCCCGAGAAGGCGAAGCAGCGCGCCGCCTCGCGCCTGCCTCCGTACCGTGGCACCCCCGTTGTACGCTTCTTCTCCATCATCTTCGTCTTATATGTTGACGACGATGATGGCAGAGAGCCGCGAGCACGAGCAGTTTGGTCCCGCGCCTTCGCAAGCCGATCGAGAAGCCCGTGCGTCGCTTGTCTGCCCGTGCAATCGTTTGAGAAGAATGTGTAGGATGCCCTCACGCGGTCGCAGGAGCTGCAGGTGGCGGTCACCGACCTCACACAGCGCTTGCGTGACAAGAGCGACCAGTGCGACGAGCTCCATAGCTGTGTGAGCCGACTCAACAAGGAGCTGCGCCTCTCGGTACGCCGATATAGAGTGACCTCAGTGCGACGATATGGCGTAGGTGGACCAGGCCTCGCTCCTCCAGCACGCAGCGGCCGAAAAGGACAAGGAGATTCAGACGCTGCGGGCGCACGTGGATGACTTGTACCAAGTGCAGCAGCAGCTCCGCGCGGAGAGTCTCCAGTCCAAGGCCGCGCTCACCCGTCGGCAGTCGGAGGGCATAATGGTGCTGCCACCGCCGCCCGAAGCCGACGAGATGCCGGTGCGACGGACGTCCGTGGCGCTCGACGAGACGATGGAGTGTCTCCGCCTCGAACTCGGTCAACTCGAAGCGCAGTGCCAAGCGCAGTCCAGTGAGCTGACGCGGTCGACGGCCGAGAACGCGGCGCTGCTCGCGTCGATGCGGCAGTGGCATGCGATGCTGTCGCTGCCGCCCCTTGATGTCCGTGCTGCTGCTCGCCTCTTTGCAAAAGCTCACGAAATACGCTAGGCGGACGAGGGACTCCACGAGGCGTTGACGCAGGCGCTGGCGCAGGATACTTCGGCACAACGCCGTCGTCACGATCAGCTTGTAGCAACCTGCGACGCCCAACGCAAGGAGCTTCTCGCGTTTCGTCTCGAGAAGGCACTGCAGCGTCGGTGCCGCGTGACCACCGACTCGATCTACGACTTGGAGGCGCACGTCGAGGCTTTGGCCGCGGCAAATGCGCAGTTGGCGGACGCTGCGCAGAACGAAGCGGCGAGAAGTGAGCTCTGGGCGACGCAATGTAGCGTCGTGCAAGAAGCCCTCGAGGCGCTGAGCGACCGGTGGGAGGCCTCGCTCGAGGACGAGCGGCAGGCGGCCGACGAAAAGCTCAGCGCTGCCCACGAGCATATTGAAGCGGTTGAGCAGCAGCTGCACGACGAGGCTAGAGACCACGAAGCGGTGCTGGAGGCGTACGCAGCGTGCCAAGACGATCTCGTCCAGGCCCAAGAGGCACTGAATGCGGCGACAAACCACTGCGAATTTGTGCAGAGCCAGCTCCAGAAGCTTCAGGTGACGCGCTGCCAGGCGCGCTGCCACTGCTGTGACGAGAGCACGCAAACAACGGCGACAACATTGGCATCGCCATCCACGTCTTGCCAAGAAGACGTCAACAACAACGATGCGACAAGTACAACTTTACGTGGCTTCCTGGCGGCGGGCGGCGTTGTCTCGGTGGTTATGGACGGTGCCAGCGTCCTCCCCGGTGACGAAAGCACTCCAAGCATCAACAGCGGTGACGCCACCGCTGCGAGCCACGACAATGAGAATGACACGACAGAAGAACGTAAGCAAGGACCTTCGCCGGTCAAGGCGACGTCCCAGTGGATCACCGTGATTGAAGCGATGCAGGCCAACCACGAGCTGGAGCTCGACGTCCTTCGGTCTGACGTCGCAGACGCGCTTGCCAAGCTCGCAGCGCGCGACGCCGAGGTCGACCAGCTCGTCTTGGACCTCGAGGCGAGCCACTGCGCAGCGGGGAAGCTGCGCGTCGACTATGACGTGGCAGCGGGTGATGGCCCGTGGGAACGCACGACGTTTCCGCACACACCGGGCGGTCGTCTCCTTGCGGTCGCGTGCGAGTCTTTTGCAAGCGCCGACTGCGAGAGCCACACCGAGCGGATGGCACCAATGGCGGTCGTGCGCATCGACGACAACTCGCCTCCACAAGAAGTCACAACCGCGCTCGAAGCGCGCGCGCTTGAAATGGCTCTCGAAGAGCTGGAGCTGGCCCACGCCGACGTCGAGTCGCACCGCGCCTGCGTGCGCGATGTTCAGATGCAGCTTCTGGCGACAGAATCGCAGCTCGCGTCGGCCGTCGAAACGAATCACATGCAGGCGGAAGAGACAGCATACCATCGCAAATACCTCCTCCCGAGCTCCACACCCAACCACGTCGGTGATAGCCGCACCCAGATGGAGCAACTTGGCATGCACTTGGAAGACCTCAGCGCGACGTTACTGGCCCATACGGCGTCTGCCGATGCGACTCAAAGGGCAATGTCGCATCTGCAAGGCGAGGCAGCCGTGCTGTCGACTCGTGTTGCCGAGGCCGACGCCCGCCTTGGACTGCTCACATCGGCGGCGAACAACGCAGAAATGACCATTTTTTCGCTGCAAATCAGCACAGCAACGCAAGACGCCGCGCTCGTCGAGGCCAACGCTGCGCTCGACAAGCAAACGATGGAGCTCGCGACCTGCCACGCTGAGAACGCTAGCGCCCACGCTCGCCTCGCGGCGCTTGTGACCGACCACGCGGCGACCCTCGCGCAAATGGAACAGCGCGCGATGCAGAGCGAAGAGTTGTCGCCAGTACCAGGTTTGCAAGACCTTATTACACGCCAAGAGATGTGCTTGGCCACGATGGCGGAAGAGAAAATTGCACTCCTAGATCACTTGCGCGCGCAAGCGACCGAGTTGCAACAGCTGCTCTCGCCAGACGCGCCACCGTTGGGTAGCAAGGCTGACGAAGCCCGTCCGACGCTGCTTCTGCACCAAGAGCTTGTCCAGGAACTCCAGTCTCTCGTGCGCACCTTGCAGTACGACGTTGAAATGTACAAGGCGACGATCGCAACTCTGGAGGCGGACCGTCGCGTGCTCACGTGCGAAGACGACGAGTGGCCGCGCCGCATCGAGCTCTCGGCCGAGATTCGAGCGCCAATGGCCACCGATGACGGCGACTTTGGTCCGTGGGAGTCGGACACGGACGAGTCGCCATGCCTGGAGCGCAGGCTCTGGACGATTCCCGAGACGAATGACGACGTCGAGGGTGACGAGAGCGACGTTGCTGATACCTCCGTAAGCCCCAGCGCTGGATCGGGAACAGAGCTAGCAGCGCTACGCTCCGAGCTGGAGCGTGCGACTGGCGATCTGATGACGGCGCCGATGAACACGGAGGTGCTGCAGCGCCTTGCCAACCACCTCGACCAGCACAACGATGCACTGCATTCGACGAGCGAGTCCGAGTCTGAGATTGTGGCGCTTCTGCACCACACCCAGAGCCTCCTTACACGTGTCCTCACGACGGCGGCGACAGCCAACGATCCGGTGGCAACTGACAACAACAACACCGACAACGACGACGATGACGACGACGGCGAGACGGACAACGACACGACGCCCGACGAGGCCGAGTGTCGCATTTGTTGCTGGGATGCCGTAGACGCGTCGACGACTGACATTGGTGGTGTCGACAGTGAGGAGCCAGCACCCATCGGGGTTGTCGTGGTGCACATCGGCAGCCACGAGATCCAGGCTGGCGTTGTACGGAGTGGCACAAGCCCGAACCTTCCCGACCTCCGGCTCCTGGTACACTGAATATGTTCTGACAAACCGACCTCGCCGCCTCTGCTTATAGGCCAAGCACGTTGACACGCGGACGCCTGCGGTGCGTACCCCGCTCGTCCTAGCCGATGCCAACCTATTTACATAGGAACCGCTCCTGCGCCTCGGTGCGATCCAGGACTTTGACGCGTTCGAGGCGACGCTGCGCCGCGTCTTTTCGCTCTTGCAGGTGGCGCCGCCATTGTACAAGGTACTTGCGCGAATGTCTTCCAATGTCACCAAGGTCGTTCATTGAACTAGATGATTCTCTTGCACAAACCGTCCATCTCGCCGCTCGAGAAGGAGCGCCTCGTCGACATCGCCATTGAGCACTGCCATGCATCGAGCGTCAACCTCGTGACGTACGCCCAAGTCGCGCTCGTGGCCGCCGGACGCCACACGGGCCTCGTCGTCGATCTGGGCGTCGACACGCTCTACGTGGTGCCCATCTTTGAAGACATGGTGGTACGTCCACCGAAGTCTATCGTCGACAAGTGCAAGTGTTCGACTAGCTCGAACATGCCGTCGTCAAGCTCGCGCTCGCGTCGCCCGTGTGGACAGCCTCCGAGACGCCCGAGACCGCGCTCGACCGCCTCTTTGCACCCGACGCCGCGCAGTGTAGGCCATCGGACGCCACCACTCGTTTGAATGCGTACCGCTGTGTAGGCGCCATGGGCGTCGTGACTGCGATCCTCCAAGTGCTGGGGCTATCGACGCCTGTGATCCATGGCACGCTCGTACGTCACATCGTATTGACCGGCGGCCCGGCGTCCGTCGCCGGTCTCGCGGATCGCCTGCATCGCGAGCTCACCGAGTGCGTCGCATCCATCGACACGGTGCCGCACCCGACGCTGATCCAAGTCCACGTCGCGCCAGAGACCCTCTACCACGGCGCGGTCGTCCACGCGCAGAAGCTCTCGTCGCACAAGTGGATCACACGCGCCGACGTGCGCCACGACGGCGCGGCCATCGTGCATACGAAATGCTTTTAAGATTCGCGTATCGTACCGTTCTGCGCGTCCGCCACGCTTGCATGTATGGGTTGGAGGAGCTAGCGCGGAGTAATGATGCAGCATCGCATGGCGGCTGCCCGTCTCTGCCCACGCAGCCCTCTGCCCAAGCAATTGATGTGCTACGAGTTCAACCATCCCGATCATGGCCATCTGGTGGCGCGGCCACGCGCCGTCGTCGCCATCGGCGTCGTTTCTTGCCCGGCCACGTCCATGTTCTTCGCCGCCCTTCCAGAAGTTGATGCGAGCCCCATCATCGCCCCTGTCGCAGCCATCTACCCGCGATTCCGCATGCGCCAGCACCGCCATGGACATAAGCCATCGGCGTCGGCCATCCGCGTCGGCCATCCGCGTCGGTGCCAAGGCCGGTCGTCGGTGCCATGGCCGGTCGTCGGCGCGTCTCGTCGCGACCGCGGCCGTCGTCGTCACCGCTTGGTGCCATCACGCAGCAACCTCGGCCTTTGCGCCAATCAAATGGCGTCAAAGCCCGCGAACCGGCGCCATTGCATTCCGTGTATTTTATTGGTCTTTTTCTGTCGAATTATTTCTCGTTTCTTTGCCAATCCATACAAAACCCAGCATAATGCCTCCTTATCGACAATAAAAAAGATGTTGCTCCTTGCATAAAAATACCGCGCGCGGCGCGGTGGCACGGGCGGCGGCGCCGCGGCCGTTGGCGGTTGCCGCCACGTTTTCGTTTAAAATGGTCGCCGTATTTAATCACGCGACATGGCCAATAGACTTGGCGTTTGTATGTGGAGAGAACGGACGTGCCATTGAATCACACAATTTAATGCACAAATTCCGCTGCAGCGTCGCAACAACTGGGCATCGAAGGCGGATTTTGGAATGGCGCCGGGCGATGGCCGCTGATGAAAAACGAAAAACGGTGGGCCAGAGACGAATATACTACGTCGGGTGCCTCCGCCACTAAGATCTACGATGCCACGACCACCGACACCGACGACACCGACACCGATGACACCGACGACGACGCGGAAGAAAGTGCACTTTGCCGATTGCGCACACGCGTACGAGTTTGCACTTGGCCATGGCGGCAGCGCGGTGCCGTTGGAGCAAGGCCCGGCGGTGGGCCTCGTCGGCGCCCCGTTGCGCATCAGCGCGATGGCGTTGCGCCGGTCCGAGCGCCGCCGCCGGCTGCGCAAGTTTGACAAGACCGAACGGGTCGCGATTTTGCGTGCGGCCGGCCACGAGATGAAGGACATTGTGGCCTTTTGCGTCGAAGCGCTCGACATTCGCATCTCGCGCGGCGCCAACAAACGCACGAGCGGGAAGAAGAAGCGCAGCTCGGAAGTCGCGCGCAACACAGAGATCAACGAGAACGCCAACATTGAGTTTACCCTTGAGGCGTACTAGACATGTCAAACCCCACTAAGTTATGAACGTCGTATCGATATCAGTAGTACGTGTCGAGTCGGCGAACGTGCATGTTGAGACTGTGGCGATCCGCGCCGCTGCCTTTCCAGCCGCGTCGTTTATAAATAGGGAGGCCGTTTGGTTCGTTGGTGGCGGTGGATCGGCGATGGAGCTGATGGCGTTTGAAGACGTCGAATTTGTGCGGCTCGTGCAAACCACCGCGTCGGCCATCGCCAAGGACCTTCGGCGTGACGCACCCGACGACGCCGAGCTGCGCCTCGAAGTACTACACCTCGCTCTGCTCGAGTCGCCGGGTCTGGTCTTTGCCGTTGACGCCGATGGGCACTCGCCGCTGCATTGGATCGCACAGCTCGGATCGATCTCGCTGTTGCAGCTCTTTCTAGATCACGATGCACCACTGCTCGTGCGCGACAAGAACGGACTCCTTCCGTTGCACTGGGCAGCGGCGGCCAACAACTTGCCAGCGCTTCAGCTCCTCTTGGCGCAGCCCGAGTCGTGCATTGACGACCGCGATATCGACAAAGGCCAGACGCCGCTGCTACTGGCCGCGCGGCACGGCCACGCCATGGCGGTGCGTCGCCATCCTCGTTGTTCTGGATCTGAACTGTTGTTGCCTGGGCAGGTGCTCTACCTTCTCAGGCACGGTGCGAACCCGTCGATTGTCGACAGCTCCGAGGTTGGGCATCGTGTCGATATCACAATTGCCTACTTGCGATAGGACAACTTTGTGCACTGGGCAGCGTACAAGGGCAATGTGGAAATTCTGAGTCTGTGCCACACGTACGCGAGCACGTTTGGCGTCGACTTTGGCCTCTTTCGAGCCCTTGACACGTTTGGACAGTCGCCGTTGCACCTCGCGGCCAACCAAGGGTACGTGATCATCGTCAAAGTCGTGACTCCGAGGCATGGGGTGTAGGCACCTCGATTGTGTTGAATATCTCTCGGAAGAGCTCGACGCCGGCGTCGACGTCTGCGATGCCAAAGGGCACACGCCGCTCCAGCTCGCCCAGCTGCGCGGCCACGCCGCGGTCGTAGCATACCTCGCGGGCAAGTTTACGCCGGCATGGAACCGGCAGCTCGGTCACGCTTTGTATTTCTGGTGCCTCCACGCAATGAACGCCGAGGCTGTCTCGCTCCAGCCGTTCCTTGGGCGCCGCGCTCCCATGTACTTTATGGTCGGCAACATTGCGCTTGGTGTCTACTGGCTCCTGCGCATGAACATGGCATCATGTGCGTGGACGGCCCAGCTTTTGCTGCAGGCCATGGCGTGGAGCGGCTTTGCGTGCGCGGCCTCGATCGCGCCGGGTGCTGTCGTCCACGAAGCGTCGCTGCGCGACTCGTACACTGCGTGCATGGATCGCCTTCTCAGCGACGGCGGCGGCGACAGTCTCCACTTGCTCGACAACGTTCGGCTCTGCCATACGTGCTGCGTCGAAAAGCCCGTCGGGTCCAAGCACTGCCGGTTCTGCAAGACGTGTATACTTCGCTTCGACCACCAGTACACCCCCTCTCGTTCTACCACGAGGTCGCACCCGTCGATTGATGTAGTTGCCCGTTCATCAACAACTGCGTCGGCCAGCGCAACTATACGTTTTTCCTGCTCTACGTGGGCGCGATGGCCGCTGCCTCCGGGCACTTGGCGTATCACTGGGCGATGCATGGCACGTCGACGGCAGCCAGCATCGTCGGTGCGCTCTACTATGGCGGTGTCGGCGTCGTGGCTGGCAACTTGTTGTGCTTCCACCTCTTCCTAGCGTCCATTGACCTCTCGACCAACGAGTACCGCAACCGGCACCGGTACACGCATCTCAAAGACCGCACGTTTGCGTCGTTTACGAGCCCGTGCAGCGACGAGTGCGTCCCAAAATGCCTCGCTCGACTGTGCATGAGCCTGCCGCCGCTGCCCCACGGGCTACGCCGCCGCGCTGCGTCGCAGAAAAGCAAGCTGTCCGCCCACGAGAGCGGCGGGAAGGTTCTCAGCGTCTAGTCGTTTGCATGTCTTCCGCAACACGAGGCTTTGGTTGTGCGCGTTACTGTGATACACACCGCGTCATCACGTCTCGGCCACGACGGCTGCGGTGGAAGGCAGCTGCAGTGCGGACACGCCTTCTCCGCGACAGGAGGCTTGTGGACTCTATCGGAGGAGACGTCACTGTGTCACGAGGCGCCGGCTGCGCGTCAAAAACCCTCAGCAGTACTTCAAGCATTGTTCCAACCAGCTTGATTTGGCGAACTGCGTTGGAAATCCCACCCAAGTTTGGATTCTCCACCGGATTCACCGTACTGTCTGTAGGTACTCAAAGGCAAAGTTTATGCAGGAAGGTATCCATCGAGTTATCCATGGCCTCTGGTGCAACGGTGTCTGGCGCATGCTGCTTGACGCTACGACCGCGCGTCCTTGTGCAAGCCACTTTTATGCTTGGCGACCTTCACCTACGGTACATTTGAAACCTTGCGTTGAACCGAACGGCAACTTGACGCTTCGAACTTCGCTTCGAGAGACGTGCGTTTGATTGGCCAGCAGTTAATGACAGGCGCATTGGATTGGCCGGCCCGACAAGATTTCCTTCGCTCGCCAATTATCCGCGAGCTTGGTTGGGGGTTGTTGTTGAAGATGGTCTTGCGCTTGACCCGTGAAGTCCCTTGGGTCCCATAGGCATTCATATTATTCCTTCCTCTGGCGCATAGTATAAGTATACTACCTTAGTTGCAGTGTGCTCCTGGCTCAAAGATAGACTTGGACTCTGAGAACGCCAGTCAAAATGTTTTTCCCGTCACGATGTTATCTGGGCGCCTGGTGAGGCCGGGCATCGATGCTCGGCATCCCAAGCTGGTAGCGCACACTATTTTTCAAGTCCGTACAGGCTGCGCCGGGCGCTATCGCGCCATTCCAGTGATATGTGCACGACCCAGAATCTGGCGCCGCGTCAGCTTCGAACTTCGAGTGTACCAGATCGTGACCGTGTCTCTGCGAAAGATGTCGGCCCACTTCTTGTTTCAATCCCGACTCGCCTTTGCCGACAATAATGCTGCGGCGCGTCGTGGTCCTTCTCTCTGCGGTGGTCGCTGCGGCGCCGGGCACGCTCGTTCCATGCGCGACCAACTGCCTTCGTCTCTCGAATGGCTCGACCGTCGCGCTTCTTCCGACCAACGCGAGCGCTATCGACCTCGTGCAGCAAGGTCTCGAGCGCATCGCCGGCCTCCCGAGCACCGTCCTCGCCCTGTACAGACTCATCGTCATGTTGCTGCGCTCACGCAAATCGTTGCAATAGAAACCTGTCTCGAAATGCCATCACGGCAGTCGATGCGAGTGCCACCCAACTAACGAACCTGTACGAGGCGCTCGATGTCAGCGAGGCTCACCGATTTGGTGTGTAGGGATCTCAGCTACAACCTTCTCCAAAGCGCAAGCCCGATCACGCTACCAACGACCCTCACAACATTGTATGACGATGCACTCGCGGAAGAATGTACGGACGACATGATGATGCGTAGGGACCTGAGCTTCAACAACATGACAAGCCTGGACAACACGACGTTCTATTGGCCGCAGTTGCCATCGCTCCAGAGCTTGTACGTCTTTTGCTCGACAATTGCTCAACCTGGTTCTTATGCAAGTGCGTAGGAATCTGCGCGGTAATTCTCTCTCTCGACTCCACAACGTTCAGTTTCCACCGACGCTGACCCGGCTGTGCGTGTGGCGTATCGCGCGAATTTTCTGATTTTTTTTAAATTAGCGACCTCACCAACAACCCGCTGACCTACATTGGCATGGACCAAGCGACGTATGCGGCGCTCTCGTCGCCGCGGGTCGTGATCCTTATGGACCGCAACGTTGTCGGCCGAAGCCCCGAGTGCCCGACCGGCGTTGTGGCGCCGCTTCAAAATTCGATTCTGGTTTGCATTGAAGATGCCAGCGGCGTCATGAAGGCTGCGCAAGGTACATTTGATCGCTACTCGATACGTCTTCTCATCCCATTCGTTGGCCAAGTAGACTACATGATGCGGTATTTGGTTGTCATTTCGACGGGCACGTTCCTTGTCGTCATGCTGCTCCTCTACCGCAAGTACCGGACCGCGTACCTCGCGAGCGAAGACGCCGAGTATCTGCGAGCAACGTGCACGAGCTCCATTTTGCACGACGACGACGGCCCCACACAATTTGTGGGACTTCCAACACCGGACGAGAAGCCAACTCGTGACACGGTCGCGGTCTAAGATCTTGTTTAATATTTTATTTTATTTTATTCGACACCAAATATACACTATTTACGGCAACACTATCTCTTGACGGTGTACACCGAAATCGGTGTGACGAGCAAGCGACCTTGGCATCATCTTGTGGATGATGCGATCACGCCGACGAAGACGGCGACGGATGGAGGCTCGGCGAGAGCACGCGCCTGGCGCAGCTGCATCCACGACCAGTGTCGTCTGGCGCCGCGGTCCACCTCTCTTGCAGCCAGGATCGATGGATACCCGGCCACGAACCAGGACAACGTAATCTTTTGACACGCACACTAATTCCAGACGTATCCAACTGCGGTGGCTGTCAATAAGAAATTTGCGTGCGCGGTCATTCGATCATTTCCGACCTGGCGCGCAATGCTTTCCTGCCTTCTATTTTGCTGGACGCTCGCGCTATTGTTGCATCCGCTCGACGCGGCGACCACCAACACCAGCACCCTTACGCTTGGTGCCTGCAACGACGCTGGTTGCCTCGACGACAACACGACCACCGGCGTCATCCTTCTCAACGCAACATCGACGACTGTGAACGCATCGAGATTGCACATTGACCGTGTGACGAGCCTGCCACCCAATGTCACGAGCTTGTACGCCGCATTGCCTTGTTTTGCCTGTGAATCATTATGTGGTCCTATAGGGATCTCTCGCAGAATGCCCTCTCGTCGCTCGCTGTCGACGCGTATACATCGCTGACATTTCTGTGCGTCCCGTGACCAGACATTGTTTTTGGCTTACCAAGGTGTAGGAATCTGAGCCGCAACGCGTTCCAGTCGACGAGCGCGCTGTCGCTGCCGACCTCGCTTCGCATCTTGTACGCACCGCGTACATGACGTAGGCTCAATGTATTTGGTTAGGGACTTGAGCGAGAACAATGTGAGCTACCTGGATGCGACGACGTGGGACTGGCAGCGGTATCCGTCCCTCTCCAAATTGTACAGCGGTTGCTTGCTCGTGCGGGTCGAGCTCAATGTTGCGGTGGCTTAGGATACTGCGAAGCAACAACCTCGTGCGGCTCGAGTGCAACCAATTTCCGGCCTCGATCACCGAAATGTACGTGATTGCCGGTTGATGGCCATTGCTTATGCAGAAATATGCAGTGATCTCTCGGGCAACCCGCTGGTGTCGTTCACCATGGACCAAGCCACGTACACCGACCTTCTCGCACGGCCCGTCATTATGCGCGTCGACAACACGGCAGGTATTGTCAAGAACTGTCGTGGGAGTGCTCTTCAGCTCCACGGTACGGTCGTCTGCGTCGGGTCGCGGTCCACAGCCAGCACGTCCCGCGCCTCCCAAGGTACTCTAGTCTTCTTCTTTCTATCCTATATTGATGTGGTGGTTACTGTAGGCTACGTGTTGCAGTACTTGCTCATCATGCTCGCCGTGACGATTGCGCTCTTGGTGGTGGTGCAATATCGCAAGCGCCGTGCGCGCACCGATGCCAACGACGACCCAGAGCTGCTCCGCGCCACGTGCACGAGCTCCATCTTGTACGAGCACGATCCGCTGCAGCTCGTGACGCCATGGCTGCCGCATGAGAAAGACGCTTGCAGCGACGACGACCGGTCGCACGATGGGTCGCGCGTGTGATATTCTTTTTCGTATTTATTTATCGTAATAAAAATAGTGATGACCATGGAATCACACTATTTCGGTTCTTGAAGTTGGTCCTGCTGACACACGCGCGTAGGAGCTCGGAATATACTTCTTGTGCTCAAACCTTGACGTTTGTGCTTGTGTACCGTGTCTCGAGTAGCTCCCGAACCGCCGCGGGTCCGGATCGTTGGCCGCTCTGCTTCATGGCGTGGATCCCAGTAGCTTGTGTTGGCGGGAAAACAGAGAATACCATAAAGAATCCCGGCTCGGTTTTTCGTTCTGAGCACTGTACCGATGTCTCTGCGTCTCTACGAGTCCTTCCCATGACGGTCGGACTCAGAGGTGCACACACCTCGGTTCTTTCTTGATCCGGTCGCGGCGTCCGTGCGACGACCAGAGAATCCTATGCCTCTTGATATTTCGAGCAGCACCTAGGTGCCTCCCCGAGGAATAAGCAACGCATCGCAGCAAGCGACGCCCGAAGTCGACATGCTCGCTCGCAAAGATGTCGCTTGGCCCAGTTCAAGCTGCGATCAAGCCGCAAGCCAGCACTGATATCGTAGTTCGAAGTACGAGAGACATCGAATCGACCAATCCAATCGCTCCGAGGGCGAAGACGAAGTTCGAGTGTGAATTTTGGAGCACCGCCGTAGTTTTGATCGCGGCTTGCTAGACGTGCGTCATGGGACTAGCAAGGACGACCCGCCGACCGTTGCTGCTGCTGCTGGTCCTGCTTCTCTGTGCTACGCCGTCGGTGCTCGGCATGGGCGCCACGCTGCTTCAGCTCTGCCCGTCGATCACGTCGACGCCATCGGCCTGCGTGCGCCAAGGTGGCAATGACAGCGTCAGCGTCATCGCTGCCAACGCCTCGGGCGCCATCGACCTCTCCAACATGTCCATCACGACAATTGAAGAGCTGCCCGTGCAATTCACGACCTTGTACACGTCATTGCAGCAGGCCCTCGCACTCATGCCACCAACGTCGTAGGAACTTGTCCAACAATCTCGTCGACTCGGTGCGGTCCATGTACCTCGGCCCTTCACACCTTACGAACCTGTACGAGCCTCGATTCCAATGCGTGGCTCACACAATGTGCGTTAGCGACTTGAGCTACAATAACATTCAGTCGTACAGCCGCTTGGCGCTGCCGACGACGCTGACCGTGCTGTACGCGCTTGCAAGGATAACACGCCGTCTCATGCACGCATAGGGACTTGAGCTTCAACAACTTGACGCGACTCGATGCAACGACCATCAATTGGCTATTGTTTCCAAACCTTACCAAGCTGTATGGGCTGCCACGTCATTTCGACGCGTTGACGGACGATATGCGTAGGATCTTGCGCGGCAATAGCATCACGTCCATATCCAGCACGCATTTTCCAGCGTCGCTCCAGCACCTGTACGACTGCATGCTCGCTTGTGTCTTCTTGACTCGTGGACGATTCCATCATGAGTAGGGACCTCTCGATGAACCCGATCTGCCGATTTGACATTGATCCGACCACGTACTACCAATTCCGGAGCGATTCGTTCGAGTTGATGGCGTCCATGGCCCCGAACGCATTCCAAATGGCATGCGTGAGCTGCCCCGGCACGCTCGTCGTCGGCCAAGGCCTCGCACTCTGTGTCTTTGAGGGGTCGCGTGAGCACCTCTTGAACCAGACCCAAGGTAGAAAATCGTACATTTTTTGCTTTTTTGCTTTTTTGCTTTTTTGATTTTTGATTTTTGATTTTTGATTTTGATTGTTTCACTACATATTTTGTAGATTACTTTTTACGCTACTCGATTGCAATTTCGACCATCACGGTGCTGCTCATGGCCGTGCTCTGGTTCCGCCGGTACCGGCAAATCCAGCGCGACCGCGCCGAGCTCTCGATGCGCGACACGTGCACGAGTTCCATCTGCGCGCAGTACGACGGCGTCCCCATGCAATACCGCATCTCGCTGTCGCCCTTGGCCGCGCCACCCTCGAGTAGTACGAGTTGCCTCCCGACCGACACCCAGCGCACAGACGTCAGCACCGCGACGTCGGCCTTTCGTCCGTGAAATCGGTCGAGTCTGTTGGATACGACAAGCATGCTCGTGACGCTTAGCAAGACACGAACGACTGTACCACTAGCCTAATGATAACTCCTTTGTCTTGCCTCTTTGCTACTCGTGCAGACTACTGTCGTCCCAAGAGGGTTTTATTATTTCCTTGTAGGTTTATTCTCTTGTAGTACATTCTAGCTCGCACCATTTCTAGTAGAGAAATGAATGAGCCATGTGAATCGATCCATCTATCCAAGCAACGCGATGGTCTCAAGTTGACATATTGCGAGCGAGACGATACCAAAGCGAGCGTCAAATATGAGAGGCGATGGGGGAGCAGAGTACTTATTAATACCGGTACTGGGAACAAGTGGCCACCTCTCTACCCGCTGTCAGGCTACTCGTAGGAAGGGCAGCAACCCGTCTCGACGTGGAGCTTGAATGTCGGCGCGATCGCCAGGCGTGTGCGACCCCAAGTCGGCGCCAATGTGTTGCTGTACGCTGTTCACAAGCGCTCGAGCAAGATGAAGAAAGTAATAAAGAGCTTAATTAATCCGATCGCGCATACTTACGAGAACGAGCCGACAATGCCGTTGATGGCCATGGTGAGCATCGAGAGGATGCCAAGTGTCCACGCCGACGTGCGCGGCCAAAAGATGTGGTTGGCGAACGCAAGCGTGTGCACGACGCGGACGATGGTAAAGATGATGTACGCGACCGACGTCACTGACGTGTTGCCGCCCGCGAGGATCGACGTCCACGCCAAGATGATGCCGAACGGAAGGTTCTCGAGGTCGTTACCGACAATGCGCTGCCAGCGAATGTCGTCGGCCTTGGCCTGCTGGTACGCGTCGCTGTCGACAACGTTGGTCGAGAGGCCAAAGTTCTGGCGCGGGATCGCCGAGCTCGCGGCCATGTCCTCGGGCGCGCGCGTGCCGGCCGTGAACTTCTTGCCGCCTTGCACCATGAGCGCCGCGAGGTACTTGACGTAGAGGATCGCCGTGCAGAGCATGAGCACTTGCGTCGTCGCCGGCGTCGAGATCATCGTGGCTTCTGCAGCAAAAGTGGAAATGAGACTTCACAGACCTTCGTGCCCAGCGTTTCGTACGGTGGTGCAGCCGACGAATCCGCTGCCTTTCTACGCCGCGCAAGGCCATTGGCTCGAATGTTTTGTCACGGCCAATCAAACGGCTCCATTTGGGAATCTTATGCGGTCGACGGACAGCAAAACGTAGTCGAATCGATCGAATGCCGTCGTTGTTGTTGATGTGATCGGACTTCGAGGGCTCGCATCGTGGGTCAAGTCAAAGGCCCCTGATGAGGTCTTCGGTGCAAAGATACTGCGAGGAAGGGCACTTGACTGGCGAAAAATCGCAAACAAAAAGCAACGGCTTCCCGAACCGACGGACGAAGACGTCGGAGCGTCAGAGCGTCAGAGTGGTGGTACATGGATCGCAGAGTGATTGTTTGGCACCGACGGACGCGTCGCATGCGCTGTCCTTACTATGAAGAATTTGAGGTCGAGGCACACGGTCTCTGGGTCTTATACTGTTTCTTATAGCACCATATTAGCCGTGTGGACGAGGCCCACCCTAGAGATCGAGCTTCCGCCTGACGACGTCGTTCGTAGCTTGTCGTTCGTTGTTGTTGAAGTGGGTCGATGTCTTCAATTTATTGCGTGTTTTTCACATTCCGCGGAGACGTAGCGAGCGAAAAACGCAGATGCACCCTCCCGTCTCCACGGAGCTCTCTTTCACGTGTACGAGTACACGGACCGTCTAGTTCTGTGATTCGGCAACGTGCACACCGTTATAATAATGTATTGGCCGTAATTTGTACAAATAGCTGGGATGACCAAGTCACTGGAATGCTCTGGTTTGGGGAGCACCACCATCAGAGTGCCCCAACATGGCCACAGTCGTAGTCTCTCCTTTCTGATTTCACAGACCAACGCCACAGACTTCAATTCGTTAAATTCACTAGTTTCAAAGCAAGTATTTACTAGGCTCGCTGGTGCTTGCGAAACACACTCTCGAGGTGCTTCTTTTTTGGCGCTGAGAACGACGCGATACACGCCACAGGGGTGTCGCCGTAAACATCGACCCGTGCTACGACGGCGCCAGCGCGCAAGAGGTGTTTGATGCAGCTGCCATGGCCCCGAATCGCAGCGAGGTGCAGCGGCGACCAAAGGTGTTCCGGCTCAACCGCCTGGACGTTGGCACCGCGCTCAATCAAAAGCTCGAGGATCTCGGTGTGTCCTTGCGACGCGGCCCAGTGCAGACCGTTCCAGCCATGCTAGTGCGTCTTCTGGTTGAGATTGCTATGCGTACGTATAAGGTGGTCGTACCTGGTCGGTAATGTTGACGTCCGTGTCGTCGCCCAAGAGATCTTGGACGCGCCGGAGGTTGCCGCGGAAGACGGCTTGTAGAAACACTTTGCTTTCACTCGAGACGGTCGGACTCGTCTTCTCGACCTCGTCGGCCGCGTCGCTCTGGTTGTCGTCGTCGTTCGCCGGTTGAGCTGCCTTTTTCGCCGGCTTCTTCTTCTTCTTTGCATTTGTATCGTCGTCGTCGAAGTCCTAGCCCAAGACGCGCTTCATCCAGCGAAATCAAGGGCAAGAAGCGCCTACGTACCGAGTACTCATCGTCGTCCTCGTCATCCTTGTTGTTGTTGTTGTCATTGTTGTTGTTGGTGCTCTTGGTGGTCGTCGTTGGAGTGGCAACGGCGGGGGTTGGGGCGGTACAAGCCTTTTGAACGACGGCGGCGGCTTTCTTGAGCGTTGCGGCCACCTGCGCCTTTGTGACGGCCGCGTCCTCGGCGGCGACGGCCCGCGCCGCTTCGACTAGGACAGCGCCGACATTGCTTTGTTGGCGTGCTTGGTCTTGCTTGACCGCCTTGGATGCGTCGGCAAGAGCGTGGACGACCGCCGCATCGCGCTCCTGCTCGACTTCGTTTGCGATCTGGACAAGCGACTGCGTCGGCGCCTTCTGGAACGACGACCGCGAGTCTTGGCGCAGCGTCTTGGCAACAGTCGTAAGCGCGGCGCTGTCGGTGGCGATTGTCGCAGCCACGGCCGCTTGCAACGACACGCTCGGCGCGGCAGCCACGTCAGCGAGGGTCATCGGCGCTTCCTTGGCGACGGTCAAGAGTGACGGCTTGTCGGCCAAGGCGACGCCCATCAACGTCGGCTTGGCCACGACATTTTGCAAGGTGGGCGCGGCGGAGATGGCTGGCGCGGCGTTGGCCACGTCAAGAAGCGAGCGCTTGGCGGAGCCGCCTTGGTTGGCGACATCGAGGAGCGACTTCGGCGCCGACATGACAACTCACGACACCGCTTCATAACGGTCCATAACCGCTTCCCGCCACGACGCTGACGCGCGCCATGGTGCAAAACATGATCCACGAAGCCACGGCGTGTACTGGCTGGCGCCTCGTTGTAGCTCGGGCAGCTAGCTTTCACCAGGGGCGTCCGCGGATGGACATGTCGCAGTGGTTGGTGGCAGTACACGCCCCTGATTGGCTCTTTGCCAGCTGGCGAGCCAGGAGGATCTTTGCAGTGAAACCCAAGAAAGATACGCCGACACACCACCAACGTAACTTGGTGCTTGGCATGGCGCTGCTAAACAACGCGCCATCGACCCGCCATGGTCTTGCGTGTCCATGTCATGGCACCCCTCGCGCCTCCCGCACCCGTGCCGGTCACCTGCACATCATTTTATGCTGAATCCCAAGCCGCACATCCGAGCGTAAGCGATGTGCACGCGCATCGGAGGCCTGGCGCACGTCCGGGCAAGAAGAGATCAAGCTTAGAGGCTCGCAGCACGCAACGCATGTACTTGTCGTCGCCCACCGAAGCAAAACGAACACGGACGATGCAAGATCGAGGAGGAGAGCGCTGCAGGCAAGAGGATCGAGAGCGGAGGATGGGTGGCCGCTCGCGCTAGCAGCTCGCCACGTGTGTCTCTGTTGGCTTGCTTGGGCGTGTCGCTCAGGCTGAGTGGGAAAGACCAACCTTGGCTTCCTGCGCAGATGCGAAGCGAGAGAGCGCCAGTGTATTCAGAGGGCAGCACGTTGCTGGCCTCGTTTACGTCAGTAGCAACACACGGCCGCACGACGAGACGTGAACCAGCGCGGTGGCGGCCGCCGACGGCCAACAGTTCGAAATCTTATGCTTGCCCAATAGCGCCAGCACACGAGGAAGGGTCCATGGAGATGGTGTTTGGGTCCCCCCTAAATTGGCGCCAGCCGGCATCCGGTGGCACCTGGATGACTTGATGTTTGTATACATGACGGCTGGATACTGGCGTCAGCGCACGGAAGATGACCCCGTCGTACTCGAAATGGTCCCTTCCCGGGTCCCCGAATAAAACACGACATATTGCATACAAAAAACAAGGTAAGATAAAGTATTTTAATAATTGTGCACCCGGGGCGGGGTCCTGGCCATCCACAAATGCTTGCTTTCGATTGGCTGGTTTCGAAGATCCCCGACCCCCACCCGGCTGATTTGCCCTACCCCTGGTATCACGTGCACGCGCCACTTGTATCGTGTAAAGTTGCGTTTCAACTTGAAGTCGTGTCGCACCGAGTGTTTTGCAATATAAAAACGAACTATTAAAAAGTTGAATTTTGCGTAAAGTTGCATCGGGACAGGCGGGATTTCTGCTACTTAATGCCAGGTGCTGCGTCTCACGTGCCTTTTAATAAAGTAGCTTGGTCTTTGTATGCAGCCTGCATCGGTCGGAATAAAAATTCGAACGGCGTGGCACCAAAAATCGAATCCTCCGAGACTCCGAGATTGCCGATGCTGCAGGCCGCGCGCCAGGCGCTTCGCCGACCTCACTTTGCATTTCGCTCCGCCTTGCGCAGTACCCGCCTACTTAGCACCATGTCGACGACCCAGTGGTTCAGCGAGACCGAGGCCATGTGGCCCGGCCAGAAGTTCTGCCTCGCGCAGGAAGAAGTCCTCTTCCACGGCAAGTCGGACTTCCAGGACGTCCTTGTCTTCAAGAGCCAGACGTACGGCAACGTGCTCGTGCTCGACGGCGTGATCCAGGTCACGGAGCGCGACGAGTTCTCGTACCAGGAGATGATCTCGCACCTCCCGCTCTACTCGCACGCCAACCCCAAGTCGGTGCTCATTGTCGGCGGCGGTGACGGCGGTGTCCTCCGCGAAGTCGCCAAGCACCCGAGCGTCGAGAAGATTGTTATGTGCGAGATCGACCCGATGGTCTGCGACGTCTCCAAGCAGTTCTTTGCCAACTCGCTCGCGACGACGTTCAACGACCCGCGCCTCACGCTCATGCACGACGACGCGGCCGCGTACCTCCGCAACGGCCAGTGCGGCAAGTACGATGTCATCATCGTCGACTCGTCGGATCCGGTCGGCCCCGCCGAGGTGCTCTTCCGCTCGGAGTTTTACGAGAACATGAAGAACGCGCTCAACCCGAACGGCATTGTGTGCACTCAGGGCGAGTGCCTCTGGCTCCACATCGACTTGATCGCGGACGTGCTTGGCCGCGTCGGCCAGTTCTTCCCGACGGTCCAGTACGCCTACACCACGATCCCGACCTACCCGTCGGGCCAGATCGGCTTTGTGCTCTGCTCGCTCGACGAGTCGCCCAACGCGCTCAACAAGCCCAAGCGCATCGTCGACGAAAAGACGGCGGCGAACCTCCGCTACTACAACTCCAAGATCCACGAGGCCGCGTTCGTGCTGCCGTCGTTCGCCGAGAAGAAGATCGCGCCGGTCCGCAAGACCACCGTCTAACACCCGCCACATTTTGACCAAATTTTAAATTTAACAAATGTGTATATAGACCAACTGCAATATTGTCACGAGCACATCGACTACACAAAGTGGAGAACGGTGTCGCTGCCCGACGCAGACCTACACACAGTCGCCTTGTTGCGATAACGAGACGAAGCACCGTGCTGCTGCGGAACAGGTAGCATGGCGGCGTGGTGTGACCCAGTGGTTTAACCACGGCCAGGTTGAGTCGACTGCTTCCTACGTGGTCAGTGATCTATTCGGCGTAAGGCGATGCCCACGGCAGCCAAGAGCCCTGATTGACCGCATGGTCCACGTAACCCTTGATTAGGACCAACGCGCCACACGTCGACGCGACAAGGCGAGCCAACGCTATCAACGTCATACGAGCTTGTCATTTTGGTGTCGACACTGACGAGTACTTGCATGCACCGCGCTTCTAGTTACAGCAGGGAACCCGAGTCGATGCGGTGGTTGCACGAGGAACGGACGGCTGGCAATGACGCGAGGTGCGTGCGCCACGCGTCCTTTCTACGGAGAGCAAGAAGTCGCCGTCGTCGGTAGTCTACCATCGTGTTATAGTACGTGTCGCCATTCCATTGTGTCGAGCTCCTTTCTGATTGAAAGAAGTTGAGGCATTCGGATGCAACACGTCGACGATCGCAACAGGTTTGGCTCGAATGGCAGGTTTGCCCCAAACCCGCCGCCCTGAGAGGGTTAAACTACTCTACGTTCTGAATGGTGAGCGCGCAATAAGATCTCGTGCTGTCGACAAATGGTAAGCCGCGCGTGCATTCTAGATTCGATGCAACCTTGACGTTCGGTTGGACGAAGATCGCAACACGTGGAGTATCGCGTCAGATACATTTTTCGTCGCTGCGGACATGAGTGCACCGATACGACGACTGTGGGGGCTCGTGCTGCTGCTGTGGACGACGATCCCCTGCGTTGCTCAGGCGTGTTCGCTCTCGGCGATCGTGGCGGACACGGCGGGCGTCATCCGTGACCGGACACTCCAAGGAAGAGACAACTACGAGACTGGTATCCACTGCCACTGGCAGATTGCGACGTCAGCACCCGGCACGATCGTCGAGCTCACGTTCACGCTACTGAATCTCGTTGCTCGTGACGGTGAAAGCAACGACGTCGTGCTTGTGAACCTTGGCCTTGGCGCCGTCGCCCCCGCCGGATGGCGGCAGTATACTCGTCCAGTCGACCTCCAAGGTTTTGACGGTGTTGGTTCTTTTGCGTATGCAACGAGCTCGCTTGCCGAAGACACGTGCAATCAAAGCCGATCTTTTGACTCGGTTTTGTGTGATTTGACGTACGGATCGCTGCTCACTGACACGGCGCGCAGTGCGTCGTGGATATACTTTTCGGGCAAAGACGTCGGCGGCGCGATCTCGATGCTGTCGACGGCGCCAAATGTCTACGTGATCTACCGGTCGTTCCTCTCCACGTCCCCCGGCGCCGGACTCGATTCGTCCTCGGTCTCCGGCATGATGGCCCGCTACGAGTTTGGTATGTTCAAAGCGTCAATGGGATGCGGACCAACGAATAATCCTAGTGCACACCTTGTGCAGCAGCGATGGTGTCGTGTCGCCGCAGCTGTCGGTCGCCTATGATACAACACCAATGCAGCGCCTCCGATACTTCAGCCACAACAAGCCATACACGACATGCTCGTGGTTGCTGCAGCCACGACGATTCGACGCGGCTACTGGCAACCTTGCGCTCTTTGACTCGATCTGGTTGCATCTTGGCTCGTTGGAGCTACTCGGGGTGTCCGAGGTTACAATGTAAACTCTCTCAGAAAATGTGGCGTCTGGCGATTTGAACATGGCGGCTCTAGATACGACGGCGCGTCGACCAACGCAACGGTCCTCGCCAAGTTTTCGAGCGGGAGCCCGTCGCTGCCAACGTCCTTCCTCCAAACCGGCGTAGGATCCCTCCAAACCGGCCAAGGATCTCTCTTTCTCACGTTCGCGTTTGTGGATGGCATCGACGCCACCGGGTTCTCTATGTCGTGGCAAGCAGGTCGGCAAAAGAATGGGACTATCTCAGATCTGATTCGACCCCGTAGCGTCCTGTTCCAATGAATGCATGGGGAGTCATACCACGTGCATTCGCGGTGAATGTGTTTGCCTTCCCGACTGGTCAGGGACGTTGTGTGACACACGCGGCGGGCGTCGGCTCACCGACATCAACGACCTGATGCCGCGGCAATACTACGTGGCGCCCAGTAGCTACGCCCCAAGCGATGGAGCTAGCGGCCTCGGCACCCGCGAATCGCCGTTTACGAGCTCCTTTGCTTACTTGTTTGAGAACGTTCTGCGCGACGGCGACATGCTCACGCTCTTTCCCGGGCGGTATCAAGGCACTGGGTACTGCGGACTCACATTTCCAACGAGCATTTATGTCACGTCGTTGAGCGGCCCGGCGTGGACCCTAGTCGCGTGCCAAGGAATCTCGCGCGGCTGGCTTCTTACACACACCAAAGGCCTCTCGGTGATCCGCGGTCTCTCGTTCACCGGCTGCGCGGTATGTCATTGCAAGTTGAAAATCGAAGTGCCTATGGGTGTAGACTCCGATGTCGCCGCTGTTTGGAGTGGCCCTGTACATCGGCGGCAACGCCTCGATTGAAAACTGCCGCTTTTACGGCAACCAATTCGCGGGCCAAGGCACGGTGGCCGTCGTCGCGCCCAGTGTCACGACGCTGCGCGGGTGTACATTTGATAGCAACGTTGCGACCGTCGGTGCCGCCGTAGCTGTGCTCTCGGCCACCGCGATTCTTGACAACTGCACGATCCATGCCAACAACGCCACGCTGAGCGGTGCGGTCTTTGTCTCGACATCTGTATCGACGTCGACCACGCTGCACAATCCATCGACCGTCACCATCTCCGCCTGCACCTTCACGCGCAACTTCGCCAGCAGCGTTGTCGAAGCCGCGCTGACTGCCAACCAAGCCAGCGTTGTCACGATCGTCAACAGTACCTTTCGAAGCAACCTTGGCGGCGCGATCGGCCTGGACGCTGCGTACGCCACGATCAACAACTCGGTGATCACGGGTAACGCTGGTTTGGGTGTTAACGCGGTCAAGACGCAGCTCCACGTGTCGACTACAGTGTTTGGTGACAACAAGGGCGCTGACAAGGGCGGCGGCCTTCGCGCCGAGACGTCGACAGTACGCAGCGTGAGCAATATGTTTACTGGCAACGCTGCTGTGGTCGCTGGCGGCGGCGTCTATCTCCTCAATTCGTCTTTTGAGGATGCAATGAGCGTATATAAGAGCAACACCGTGGGCACGAATGCCGACGCCACCAACCGAGGTCTCGGTGGTGCACTCTACGCGCTCAACTGCTACGATACTACGACGCTGCAACCGCTGATTGTGATCACCAATGGCACGTTTCAGGCGAACAAAGCGCTGTTTGGTGGTGCCGGTGCGTCGTTCTACTCGATGTCAACCTCATCTCTGCCTATAGTATATTTGGAGCAGTCGTATACGCTGCTCCAACAGAGTGTGTTTCAATGGAACAAGGCGACGACATTCGGTGGTGCACTCATGGTGACGACCACACGCACCCCAAGCACCCGCATGCACGTCCTCCTCCTCGACAGCAATCTGTACGACAGCAACAGCGGCGGATCTGGCGGCGGAAGTCTCTATGTCTCGTCATCCGACTCAGTGTCAACGACAAACGACGTGTTTGTTCGCAGCCGTTCGTACGGGACAGGCGGTGCGATTATGCTTGTGGCGGCCTTGGTCTCTGTCAAAAACGGAACGTTTCTCGAAACTTCTAGTACGACGGACGGTGGTGCCATCTACGCCGACTCCACCTCTGGCGTCTTCATTGTCGACTCCAATTTTACGTCGTGCGTCGCCTACCGTCACGGCGGCAGCGTCTACGTGTCGTCCCAACTCATCGTCATCATCAATGTCACAATGACAAACGTACGAGGATGCTATCCTAGTTTACGTGGCTAAGGATGATGTAGAGTATGGCGTTTAAGTACGGCGGCAGCGTCGTGATCCAGTCGGTCACCCAAACAGCCTATTTTCGGAACATTGCCATCACTACTTCGTCGGCGTCCAAGGGTGGGGCGTTCTACATCATCGACTCCACTATCAGCGAAACCATTTTCAACGTCTCGATCACCAACACGACGGCCAGAACGATGGGCGGCGCCATGTACCTCGTGCTTGCAAACTTGACCATCGACCACCTCACGACGAATGGAACGATGGCGGACATTGGCGGCATGATGTCACTTGAAGAATCGGTGGTCGTGTTGTCCAACGCCAGCATTGTCAAGGCGACAGCAACTGCGAGCGGCGGTGCTTTCTACTCGATCATCTCGAACCTCACTTTGCAGTCCAGTGTCGTCGACCAACACAGCGCAAGTGCCAACGGTGGCGCGATCTACGGCTTCTCAAGCACCGTGATGCTCCGAGACACACGGCTCGCGCAGAATTCAGCAGCTGCCGGGGGCGCTATCGCTGTCGTCTCTTCGACTGTCAATGCGCTGCGCGCTAATTTCGCCCACAACCGTGCTCTCACGGGCGGCGCCCTCAGCGCTGACCTCTCGCACATTACGCTGGATACGTCAGTGCTGGACGCAAACGCCGCATCTGGGCTTGGTGGTGCCCTCGCTGTTTCCTTCAACTCGCTCACACTGCTTCGCTCGTTGCTGCGCGATAACGTGGCCGCCGTCGGTGGCGCCATTTCCGTGTCCAACCTCGCAATGTTCAATCTGAGCTCGAGTCGCTTTGACAACAACTCAGTACTCTCGACGTCCAGTGTCGCTGCCCAAGGCGGTGCGATCAGCATCACTACGATCACAAACGCGTCGTTTGTGACCAACTGCTCCTTTCACGACAACCGCGCCGAGGCTGCCAAAGGTGGTGCGATCTACACTTCAATGGGCAGTGCGTTGACACCGCCGACGATCAGCATCGACTCGTCAATTTTTGAACAGAGTCGCAGTGGTTACGGCGGCGCACTCTACCTCGAAAACGCGCCCACCTTCCTATCGAGGTCACGCTGGACCAACAACATGGCGACGACCGGTGGCGGTGGTGGCATTTACTGGACCGGCAACGAGCCACAAGCGTTGGACAGCCAAGAATACATAAACAACTACGCTGTGTATGGACCCAACGTGGCGTCGCTACCACATGGCCTGCAGCCGCACTACACACCGCCACCGACGGATGGTGTCACGACCGGCGAAACCAGTGGCCAGGTGTTTGCCGGAACCTTGGTTGTGCACGTCGTGGTACGTTTGCTCTGATACGTTTGCTCTACCTCTGCGGTAGCCACACCAAGATACGATGTAGGACAAGTACGGTCAAGTTGTGACGACGGACAATGAGACACAAGTCGCGCTGACCAGTCTCACGACCTCGGCGCTCATCGCGGGAGTGGGCAAGGCCACGGCGGTGCGCGGCATTTGCAATTTCTCCTCGTCTGGCGTTCAATTTACACCAGGTATGGTCCCTTGAGTACGTCGGGGTTTGGTTCGAGTGCCGCGGTAGGGTTCAACATGACCTTGGCAGTCACTGGTGGCGGCCTTGTGCCACAAAACAATGTCGAAGTGCATCTTCGGAGGTGCGTCCGCGGTGAAGTGCTTCCGCAAGGCGTTGCGCAGTGCATCAAATGTCCTGTCGGGCAGTTTAGCTGGAATGCCAGTGAGATGGCGTGTCAAGAGTGCCCCAATGGTGCCATCTGCAGCGGCGGTGACAGCATCCAAGCCAAAGACGGCTACTGGCGGTTTCCCAACTCGACTGGCGTCTGCACCTCGCCCCCCTACGATGGATGCAGTCTCAAGGAGTGTCTGGCAAGCGCATGCAACGGACTGCTCCGCAACAACTACTTGGCATATGCCAACCCGCTTGTCAACGGAACAATGAGCTTGATCTTGCCCTCAAATGCCTCTGGCTATGAGGTCAATGACACACTGTACGTAGAAGGCGCTACGTACTCGGTGGTGGGGTCGTCCATGGTATCGTTACCGCTCTCAACTCAACTCCAGCTTTTCGTCACGGGGAGTACACCACTGCCCAACACAGGTGACCCCACTTGTTTTCAACACCCAAGGATTCAATGACCTATTTCTTATGCATAGGCAGCGTTGCCATCTACAAGGTGCAGCCCGAGACGTGCAAGCCGGGCTTCACCGGGCACCTCTGCTTTAAGTGTGCCCACGGCTACACGCGCAGTGGCAAGACCGACTGCGCTGCGTGCCCAAGCAATTACACGTTGACGGTTCTGGTTCTTATTGGCGGCGTGGTTCTCTGCGTCGGTTACGCCACCATACTCATCATGATGGCCATCAACAAGTCGCGGACGAAAATCGGTTTGCTTTCGATCCTCACCAAGATCTTGACGTCGCACGTGCAACTCGTGGGTCTGGCCGGGTCGTTCGACTTGCCATGGCCCGACATCGCAGCGTCCATGTTCACCACACAGAGCGCAGCGTTCAATCCGGCCGGCAAGCTCATCTCGATCAACTGCCTCCTGAGCCGCTACAAGGCACAGCTGTCACCAGCCGCGACAAGCCTCTCACCGTACTACGAGCAGCTGCTTATGTACCTCTGCCTCCCGCTTCTCTGTATTGTCGCCCCGATCGCGTTTTGGCAGCTCAAATGCTTCTTTGCAGTCCGGCGCATCGAGCGTACGGCGTGGCCAGCGCGGCTACGAGCCAACCTCGATCGCGGCCCCGAAGAGCTGGTCCTCGACACTGAAATCGAAGATATTTTGCGCGCAGTCGGCGAAGACCCGAGCGATATTGTCCTTTTGGACGCTCGGTCGATCGAAGCGCTTGCGAAAGAACCGCAGCCGCTGTGCGTCGTCAAGGCCGCGTACCTCGACGCTGTCCGCCGTGAAATGTACGACAAGTCGGTGCTCTCGATCATCGTGCTCATGTTCCTCATCCATCCCGGCGTCTCCAAGCACATCTTTGGCATGTTTGCTTGCACGCCGCTCGGCATGGACGAGCATGGATCGCCCATGTCCTTTCTCGATTTCGACCTGGACGTCCCGTGTTATGATGCGAGCCACTACAAGTGGATGCTCTGTGTCGGTCTACCGAGTCTTGTTTGTAT